ACAGGATGTGTCCAAACACATGCTTTCCTGTCCATATGCAAGAGCACACAGCACCACTGATTCTGCTGATTGCATATGGAAGCTGAGGCTTTCAGTCTTATTTGTATGTATTGTCCTCAGCAGGTCAGACTGCTGAAACAGTAGACTGCATAGGAAATTTGTCCTCTTTTAGTTCTTATGTCTTAAAAAATTATTTATTTTGCTAATCAATCACATTTTACTTAATTTTTCAAGATTTGTTTTTTTCAGTATATTTAATTTTGTGTGAATGAGTGTATTACCTGAAAGTATGTAAGTGCACCTGTGTTGTGTAATACCCATGGAGGCCAGATGAGGGCATTGGATCCCCTGGAACTGGAGTTACGGATGGTTATTAACCACTATGTGGGTGCTGAGAACTGAACCCAGGTCCTCTGCAAGAGCAACCAAAGGTCTTACTGCTGAGCCAGCTCCCTAGCCCCAAGACTTATTGTTTTTTTTTTTTTAAATGTGTTTGAGTGTTTGCCTACATGCGTGTATGTGCATCATATGCATGCAGTGCCCATGAAGGTCATAAGGGGGTGTCAGATCCCCTGGAAGTGGAGTTACAGACTGTTGTGAGCTGCCATGTGGGTGCTGGGAACTGATTCCAGATCTGCAAGAGCAGTACGTGCTCTTAACCACTAAGCCATCTCTCCATATAAAAATGTTTTTAAATTTTGAAGGTGAGGTTTTATCTTATAATTACTTTTGCCTGTGGTTCCAAGCATAAAGCCCCGCGACAATACAGCAATTTATTCCTATACTTAACTAGAATCTGTAGCCAAATTGGATATATAAACTGAAAATTTACACTGGGCCTTGGATTATCATACAATGCCCATGAATTAACTGTAGGAATGAATGCTAAATTAAGGGAATTGTCTAAGGAATATGGTGGTTTATGGAGAAGCATGATTTTTTACTCTATATGACATTGATCTACCTTGAACAACCCTCATATTCCCTTAGCAATACATTATATATCAATTTTCCACAAATCAATTTTCTCCGAAGACCTTCTTTGATCCCATTTCTATTTTCGGTCTGTGCTGCGTCTTTAGTAATGAGTTTATTATCTCTTGTGTATACTGCACTTCTATATTCCAATGACTTGTAAACGTTAACTTTCAGAGTACCCACTAGAGTCCGCTATAATTTGCAATACACACTTAATTCATCCATTTCTTTATCTTCTTACATTTCTTGTTTGAAGGGTTTGAATTTTTAACTGCTTTTATGTGTAAACCTTATCACCTTTTTACTTATAACTCAGACTTATTTCTTCATTATATCCTTTATAGCAGAACAGAATTAAGTGAGAATTATACACATATTCATAAGGAGATGGGCAGTAATTTTTGTAAGAACATTTGCATTGTTACCATGTATACATGATGCGTATTACGTTGTATTTATTTTTACAGTAGTATACGATTTTTTTTTTGAGACAGGATCTCACTCTGTAGCCAGACAGGACTAGAACTCACTATTGTAGCCTAGACTGACCTCAACTCTTAGCAATCCTCTTTCCTCAGCTTCCCAGTGCTAGGATTGCAGGCATGAGCTACCTTGTGGAGTCCTGAACTCTGCCTTGGGCTACTATATAAGACACTCTTTTGTTTGGTCACCACTACTTTTTATGTTAGAGCTCCCAAACCAGATCACTGATGACATTTTTGTACATTACCAAAAAATCATGTATTAAGTGCAATACACTACCCTTTCAGTATATAATAAACATTTGTACCATCAGTACCTCTCAATTCATATGCCTTTAGTAAACTAATAGCATATTATATTAAATGTAATATGTGATTTGTTAGCACTGTAAAAAAAATCTTATCAGTATTTTGGTTTGGAAAATTTCTTTAATGTAAAATGTGGTGGGAAGGAAATTTAATTGGTAGCTTCAACTCAATGCATTTGAAATTAAACTATTCATCACGCAATATATAATCTATACCTGTATCAGCTCTATTTTGATCTCCAAATTCATCTCTCTTCCTGCCAACTTGAATGTATAGTTTTCACTTTGCCTGACTGACATCTTCCCTTAGTATCAAGGAGGCATGAACAAGACGGTGATCAAGGACCCCACACAGACTGGTCTCTGCTCCCAAGAGCTTTAATGGAGAATGGAAAGGCACCCTGTCACTTGCCTTTCCCCCTTGAAAAACCAGGGTGCATTCTGCTCAGCCATCATGCTCCCAGAGGAGCAAGCTTTAACTTCCACTCTTCATGCATTGAAAAGCAGCACCGTGAGACCTGTCCAAAAGGCACTGGCAGTCTGGGAGGAATTTGGGTAAGTGTTTTTCACTCCAGTGTTTCCATGTGATCGCTTGTTCTCAATTTAGCTACATCTTGACCTGGAAAGGGTGGTTGCACTTTCCCTCTCTTCGTTCTGCTTGTCCAGTTTCAGGATGTGCGTGCCTCTCCTTCCCTTTCCCTCAGCCCATGACTCTCCTCCTCATCTTTGAGACCTCCCAACAGAGCCTTCCTTCAGATGTGCATATCCACATTTATTTATTGAGTATGGATCTTATTTCCAGAGAGAGGGAGGAGAAAAGAGAGAGAGAGAGAGGGAGAGAGAGAGAGAGAGAGAGAGAGAGAGAGAGAGAGAGAGAGAGAATACCTGAGTTCCTGAGATAAAAGGAAAGAAAGGTATCCACATCAGCAGCCTAGACAGCCCCTCACTTCTTAGGATGGATGTGAGTGAATATCTGCATACCTGGCAGCTTCTTTAAGACCTCTCCAATAGATAGTAGACAGTAGTGGAGAAAATAATAGTCCCTGCGTTTCTCTAGCTTTCCCTCCCCTCCCCCTCTATCAAACAACTCATTTTTGTACATGAAATTTTAGACAAACCTTGGGTGACCTGAGTGGTTAAAAGCACTAGTTGTTCTTGCAGAGGACCCGGGTTCAAGTCCCAGCACCCACATGGCGGCTAACAACTGTCCATAACTCCAGCTCCAGCTCCTCTGGCCTCTACAGGCATTGCAGGTGCTGAGGAGGAGCAGGAGTCAGTGACAGTTTCCTTATTTTCCACATCTTTTAAAGTTTTCAAATTTTTACCCTACTCTTTTTCTTTTCTTTCTTTCTTTCTTTTTTTTTTTTTTTTTCCTTTGTGACTTTGCCTCCCTCCCCCGTTTTTTCCCTTGCGTTAAAATAGTGCTGAAGAAAGAGGGCACTAGTGTACAACCCAGATTGCATCCTTGCACCGTCTGGATTGGAGCTGAGGCGTCTGCGAACCGAAGGTGGCCGCAGTCCTCTGACCTGGGGACCGTAGCTCTGTCTTCTGTCAGGTACATCTTGAGTGCACACCCGCCAACGGACTCAGGTGAGCAGACTCTTCCCGCGGTGAAACCCATTCCCAAAGGCAAGCATGTCCTAATCAATCGGATTTCCTTCTGGACCCAGGAGGATCTTCGTTTATTTATCTCTTAGTTCTGCACGCCTTGGGAGGCTTAGGGAAGGGGGTCTGGCTTGATTTCCTTCCTTTTTCGTGCCTTTCCTCTTGTGCTGTTACTCTGTGCTGGCTCCCGCAGCCCCTTTCTCATCTGGGCTCTCACCTTGAGGGATCGGGAAGGGAAGGGAGAGGGAGCCAACTTCAGCCCCGCAGGTGCCTCTGCTCCCATAGCAGTTGGATTGGAATATAAACCTGCAAAATCGGGGCAAAGCGAAGAGAATGAGGGTGGTGAAATGATGGGGAGGCGAGAGGAGGGATGTGTGTGTGTGGAGGTGGTTGTAAAGAAAGCGAAGGAAAGAGGTGGAAACTGCAAAGAGAGGTCAAGGATTTGCCGAGCTTTGGTTAAGGCAGGTTCCTGCAGGAAGCGGTACCACCCGCTTGCTCTAAGCGCTGTCCAGGGTTCTGACCGCGGTGTGACTCTTGCTATCTCAGCAAAGCCATCCCCCATTCTGAGGAGACTTCCTCCTCTTTCCTGCTGCCAGGCAAAGCCCAAAAGGTCCCGATTTATCGAGGATGCAGGAGACTCTCCACCTCCCCAGCCGCATCTTTGAAAACAAGTTACCTATCGCACCTTTTCTCCTTAAATATCTACAGTAAGCCTAACTTGGGGGGGGGGGGTTACATGCCAACCCTAACATAGGGACTTTACCAGGCGTTGCCTTAGTAACTAATATGGATTTTCACAAGCTGGCGGATTTACATTTGCGACTGGAATTGCGTGTCAGGGAATCTTCAGTCCCTCCAAGTTAAAGTAAAATGCACACCCATTGTTCATTTTAAAGTAGTGCTTCCACCTTTGCAAAGAGTTTCCAAATTTTCTGCTGGGAAAAAGTTGATCATTTCAAATCCGGAAAGTTCTCTTAGGTCGAAGAATTTAGCTCCTCCTCTCTTTTCTTCTCTCTTCCCTTCCTTCCGCCCCCCTCCCCAGTCACCTGAGAAAGCTTGGTAGGGTTTAGGGGACTGAGAAGAGACTTGAAGCTGGAGCAGAGGGCGGGTCAGCAGGGCTCTGCACCTGCTGGGGCCCGGGAGAGCTCAGCGAGGAGGACACTATTTTCCTCACTGCCCAGAGCTGCCTTCCTAGCTGTCTTTCTCTGCAGGATGTGTTGTGGTAAAGCGCGAGGGCAACAATTAGCATCACTGACCTCAGAGTTTAAACACAGTTCCTTCGATGACCCAGCTTTGATGTCCCCCTTTTTTCATTCAGTCAGCTCACAGCTGCCAATACGCCGTGCATTGTACACCAAATCCATATTGCTTCGGGCACCAGTGAAAAATCGCGACTTGATTTCCCCTAAAAACGCCCCTGGGAGCGGCAGTGGAGGACCGGGAGGAGGAAGCGGAGGGGAAAGAGGCGGTGGTGGGGTCACTGAAGGCACTGAAGGAGCTGTGTTGGCTACAGGCACCACCAGAAGCGGCCAGAGCAGCAGCGTCGCGCGCCTTGCTGGTGCTCCAGAGCCTGCAGGCGGGACCAGCGTGGGAACGTGGCTGGCTGGCGGTGGACCGCGTCTTCACCATCATGGTCCGGCTCCTCTTCCTTTTCTTCTCAATGATCTTTTTGGAGATGTCCCTATTCCCCAGAAACCCCGACAGGAAAGTGTTGCTGGTGGGTGCTTCGTCTCAGCGCTCGGTGGCCAGAATGGATGGAGATGTTATCATTGGAGCCCTCTTCTCGGTCCATCATCAACCTCCAGCCGAGAAGGTGCCAGAGAGGAAATGTGGGGAGATCAGGGAGCAGTATGGCATTCAGAGAGTAGAGGCCATGTTCCACACATTGGATAAGATCAATGCAGACCCAGTGCTCCTGCCCAACATCACCCTGGGCAGTGAGATCCGGGACTCCTGCTGGCACTCTTCAGTGGCTCTGGAACAGAGCATCGAGTTCATCAGGGATTCTCTGATTTCCATTCGAGACGAGAAGGACGGACTCAACCGCTGCCTGCCTGATGGCCAGACCCTTCCCCCAGGCAGGACTAAAAAGCCTATTGCTGGCGTGATCGGCCCTGGCTCCAGCTCCGTGGCCATTCAAGTGCAGAATCTGCTGCAGCTGTTTGACATCCCCCAGATCGCCTACTCTGCCACGAGCATCGACCTGAGCGACAAAACTTTGTACAAGTACTTCCTGAGGGTTGTGCCTTCAGACACTTTGCAGGCAAGGGCGATGCTTGACATAGTCAAGCGGTACAATTGGACCTATGTCTCCGCAGTCCACACGGAAGGTAGGCACTATATTTGGGAAAGAAAGCTACCAAGAGAGCCAAGGAATTGCACGGTGTGCTCCTAGGATCATAGCGTAGTCCCTGTTTATTTTAAGCGCTGCGAGGAGCAGAATTTACCCTTCTCAGTACACACCCACCCAGGCACTGCTTTTCATCATCATTCCCTTATAATTACAGTGCAGGAAAACTGTATCCCATGGTGTTTCTGGGGTAGGAGGAGCAAAAAGGATACCTAAACTGCATGCAAAAGTGTCCAGCTGTAGATTTGGCTTACATGGTGGTTTGCCCTCCTATTCTGAGTTTTTGTTTAATAAGCTTATTGGCCCAAGGTACTATATTTCCCTTCAGTGACTGGCCAGTTGTTTCCCAAGGTTAATGAGCTAGTCGAAGGTGAGTGATCACACACACACACACACACACACACACACACACACACACACACACACCACTTATCTACTGTGGATTTGAAATTTGGGATTGTGAGCTTTATCTTGTCTTAAACAGCTGAAGGTTTGCTCTTTTGTCCTCTAGTGTCCCTAGTTCTACATACGGAACACACAGTGATGGTGGATTAATGCATCTCCCTCAGGGTATCAGAAATGTCACTTTTCAAGTCTGGGATACCTTACATACAACAAGTAAACAATGAAACCATGTGTTTATTTTTCCTTACTTAATATGCTAAAATTATACACATTTCTTACCCCCTCTTTTCTTTGTTTTTATGAGAAATGGTAATGATGACCTCTGGAATTTGAGTTTTTGCTTTCTAGTCTTCCATACAATGGGCTTTGCCCCTCAGAATTCAAAGTTAGACCAATTATAAATTACTAGTAAAAAGACACTGGGTGCCAGATTTTTTTTTTTTTTTTGAGGCAGGGTCTCAGCATGTGACACTAGCTGGCCTAGAACTTGCTACGTAGACAAGGTTGACCTTGAATCACAGAGAACGACCTGCCTCTGCCTCCCAAGTGTTGGAATTAAACTCATATGCCACCACCACCATTCTGGCTCTTAAAATGGTTTTTGTTAAATATAAACATTCACATGGGGCTAAAAGTTTTGATTTTTTTTCCAGAATTTTGTAGATGTAAATTTTTGAAGTGTTTTTTTTTTTTTTTTAACCTAAAAGGTTTTCTTTACTTTTACAGAAGCTTTTATAGAGTTTTGGATGAAATGAGATTTTGAGCTCATCGCTTCTTAACTATCCCTAGAGAGTTTACAAGGAAACTGATAACATGGTTATGAATTAATGTCTATGAGAATTTGCTAGTGTATATGCTGACATGTGAAAGAAACTGAAAAGTATGCTGCATTTATATTTCTTAAAACAAAATATTGAAAGAAAGGAAACAGACATGGCTTCAGTTTAAAATGCACAATATTTAGTTGTGGGAGATCTGATTATAAAAATTAAAAAGCATCTTACTAAAGTGGTCATATGGCTATTGTGAATGAAACACATGCTTTAATTTATAAAGGGAACAGAGTTTTCAAAGCAAGCAAAAGCAAAGCAATGTAGATTTATACATCATAATTTCAGACTTTGCTTTTAGAAAAAAAACTTTCTGCTACCTGATTCTTGTTTATCAATCTTGATTTTCAGTTTATGCCCTTGTACACGTCTTTTGCAACACAACTCATAATTTTTTAGACTGCAAATTTAAATTCAGAAGTCAATTCTTTATATTTAAATGCTTAATGCTAACTTGCTACTTTTTTATGTTTGTTATAGTTTCTTGTAGTACCTAGACGGATGCTTCTGAAACACAAGTTAAAATGTGTGAAATATCAGCTCTGGAAAGATTGTGCAACAAAAGAATGTCAACATTTAGACTGAATGTGATTCATTTATATACTTAATAGTTCTCCTTCCATTGACCTTGGTAGTTGATTATTGATATCGAAAGTTTTTCCTTCAGGAAGAAGTAATACTAACTTATTTTTTAAAGCTTTACCTTCCATGTTTATTATAGAATGTTTTATTTGGGGAGAGGAAGGTAATAAAAGACTCTCCTTTCATTAATCTATTTTTCAATAGCATATCACTACAATAATTGCTAATCAAGATTGCTTTCTGAAAAGAGATTTGTTTTGGAAAATGAATTGGATTTGGGTTTGCAAATTCTGTTAAGTACTCATCATGATTTTACCTGTAATATTAGATTGAGTTACTTTGCTTTGTTCCACTTTCTGATCATTGGAGTATGGCAGGGATAGTGTCTCCACACTACCAATTAATTTTGGACTGGATTGTGGTCATAGGAAAGCATCACAGCTAACTTTGGTCCTTATTTATTGCAGGAGATTGTATCCTTCCTTTGCCATTTATATACACTATCATGTTTCTTTTTAATGGGAATTGTTTCCTCCATTTATAAGACATATCATCTGTGAAAACTGAATTGCTCATATTTTCTTTCATCTCCAAGGAAATTTCGTGTAAACTCCAGCTGAAAATTTATTTTTCCTGAGGTTCTACCCTCTGCTTCTCAGGGACCCATGGTGTACTGGCCTACAGGCACTTTCTTGAATCACCTAGCAATTTTCCTGTCTTCAGCCTGATGGGGTCACCTACTGGTGACAGTTTCCTGTCAAGAAGCAACTATGACCACATTCCAGTGCTGTCTCTGCCATCTGGGCATTATTCAGCAAGTGAGATATTTGTCTCAATATTATCAGTCTGGAACTTAGGCATCCTGAGGCCTCCCATGACCTTCACCTCTCCTTTCCAAATCAGCTACTCCCCAGCCAATTCATCACCATCATTTCTTTTATTAGAAACTAACCTAGCATAGTTGATGCCAAAAGTGATTACACTAGTCTACCTTCATTTCTGAAGTTAATTTGGGTGACTTTAAAATCATAGACTGGGGCAAGCATTCTTTGTCCTAGTTGTTTTATATTAATTTATTATTTTATTTTACATTGAAATAAGCTTTGAAGTATTTTTGTTTTTAGTCAATGGAATTTATTTGTTGCATTCTTTTACACGGTTTTCAATCTTCTATCATTTGCACTGAGCTTATTATCTTGTCATATGTCACTTTACCTGACATAGGAAAATCAGTGCACATTAAGGTACTTGTGATAGAAATTCCAGAAACTCTTCTCGATTGTTTCTGGAAAGGAATTTTTGAGACAGAAGAGAAAGAGGGCTGTTGAAGCAATAGAATCTTGTCTATAGATAAAACTCAAATGTGCCTTGGATGCTCACTTGGAATATGTATCTTTAAATATGTTAAGCATAGAGTACCAAAATAGCCACTTCTAAGAAGACTATCTCAGCCAAGGACATTTTATTCCATCCTTCTGATAAAACAAAGATTTCTGGTAAAAAATCAAATTGATTGTTTCCAAAGGTTGCTCAAAACACTACTTAAAATAATAATTTTAGGTGATCACATTCAAAGCATTGAGAAAGGTCAATAATAATACTCTGTGAGCTTGAAGCATTAACAGGTTTTCTTTGGGGGTTAGATTTATTTTCATTTAACTCCTTTTCTCTTAGAATTTTGTCTCAGGTAGGCAGATCAGCAGTGACTTTCATGATGATGCCTCCATTATGAAACTATCCACAGTAAGATGGCTTTGTGTTTAGCTCATTTTCATTGTGGTGCAACCTTTTGTTTGATATGTACTTACATTTTATATGCAACTGGTCTTTTTTGGCTTCTTTTCAAAGCCTGACTTTTTTCTTTTTAGAAATATTTTTATTTTACATCAAATAATTTAAAAGTCTATAGCATCAAAGGAAATTCTCTTAAGTCATAGGTACATAAGCTGACTATTATTTTCACTCATAAAATTGCAAATACTAACTGCTATGAAGTGGATCTACCATCGTATTCCCGTCTGCTTACTAGCATCTTTTTCTTTCCTTGTCTTGACTATAATCTATTTTACAGGAAGTTGTCTTCATGAACTGTTCTGTTTTATCATACAACAAGGAATGGGAGTGTCTTGAAAGATCATTTGGGCAAACAAATTAAAGATGACAAAGTTACCACTATTGCACTTTTGTTTATGCTGCAAGTTATCGAATTGTGGTGAATATTCTAACGAGAATGAGAGAATTTATGCATCAAAGTCAGAAGCAGAGGGGCTGGAGAGATTGCTCAGTGGTTGAGAAGACTGGCTGCTTTTGCAGAGGACCTGGATTCGATTCCCAGCATCCTCATGGCAGCTAACAACCATCCCTAACTTCAGTTCCAGGGGAATCCGGCTCCCTCTTCTGACTTACAGGCATGCAGGCAATACACTCATACACATAAAATAAAAATAAAATATAAAATATTTTTTAAAAGTCAGAAGCAGAATCACATGTGACTCTTAGTCCATTCTATATGTACCTGAAATGAACTCCCTGAAGTTTCTAGCATTTTTCCCTTGATGACTGGGAATCATTAGAGACAATTCAGGTTCCTTTTCTAGGTGACCTTTGAAACCTCTCCTCCTTATGCCACATCTCACTAGCTCATTCATGCATATATTCTATCTTGTTTTTCTCACAGCTATAGCTCATTTCAAGTAGATCTTAGATAAACTAATATTCCAAAGTTTCTTAAAATTCTGTGCTACTATTAAGTCATCTCCTGCTTCTTTTGATCTTTAAACACTTCTTAATATTTTGTTATTATTACTAGTATTATATCCAAGAATAGAGATGTGATATTTTTCTTTCAGATAAAAAGTTATTTTCTTAAATCTGTCTTTCTAACCTAGAAGTAAGCTCTGGGACTTTAATGCATCTGAGCATACCAACTTTATATCATCAGGATTTAATAGAATAAAATAAGGTCAGATGTAAAGTATTTTACCCCTTTATCAGTGAACTACTTTGGCATCCACTCAGCCTGGTGTGAATCCCATTGACAGTATGTTCTTCTATTCCAAACTGTACCACCTGACAGGTGTGTAAAAAAACCACGTGTAGTTTAAATGATAAACCATCACGATGGATATTCAACTTCACTTGAACATTAACTACATAAACACTG